GTAATAGAAAAATGATTTAATTAAACGCCTCTGCTTAGTCAAGTGGGTTTGCAGTTTGAGTTTGCCATTCCTGTTCATGGAGCCAAAACTGTTTGGTTTTGGGGATTCCAGAAATTCATGTATTTCCAAGAATAGCTGTTGTCAGCAGAATGGCAGTAAGGTTGCATGACCTGTGCCAGGATGTGACAAGAATTTCTATTCCTGAAGAGATAAGAATTGAAAGGCAGTTGTATTTGCTCATATTGCTATGTAACTGTAATAGTACAGTGTCAATGAATGTGAAGAGAGTGCAGCTCACTGCAGGACAGAGGAGCTTTTAAGAGACTAGCTAGTGAACGGAGAGAAGGGGATTAAGATAGAGAAGGGGAGCCTACTACGGACTTGGCCAAGAAGATGAAAACTATCTCTGTGTACAGGAAACTTCCTAAAAATGCCTGACCACTGGCTCTGTTTCACTGGAACAGTTAGTAAGCCTGGAAGAAGTAGCAATAGCCTAAAGGATTCAAAGCGTTGAGTGGGAGTTTTGTGCTGTGCCATATTGGTGGAGCTGGAGAAAGTTCTTGCAATAGTCAATGGGAAATCCTCAGTAAATATCCCTAGTGTAGACAGGGTCCCATTGAACCGTTAGGGGTTAAATCTGCAGGAAATAAAGAGGGGGAGGGAGTGTGAGAGACGCAGTACAGACCGTTCCTAATAGGAGTAAAACTGCACATAGCCCAGAATACAATATATGGAATATAATTGAAAAAGATGTTTTGAATGAACAATAACCTTTAAATTCTTTAGTGTGTGTTCTCTGAGCTGTAGAATGTTCTGATTGTTAAGGCAATTAGCTTTTAAAAATAGTTATTTTTTTGGATTTTAATTACATGCTGCATTTTGCCTTTGTTATTAGATGGGGTCAGTAAGGTTACTGAAGTAATTATTGCGCTCTGCTTGGCACTGGTTAAAGCATAACTGGAGTGACTGTGTTCAATTCTGTATGAAGAAACGTGGAAAAACCAAAGAATTTAGAGGAGTGTAAGAAAGATAGTAAGAAATTTGGCATTCAGATCTAAGAGGAAAGGTTAAGATAACTTGGCACCTTTAGCCTAAAGGGAAGAAGAGTGTGGGGAACGTAATAACGGGAGACATAAAGGAATGTTATAAAGGGGACATGAATCAATTATTCTCATTAGTCAACAAGGATGAGACAAATAATAATTGGCTGAAGCAGAAGGGAGGTTTTAGGTTAAATATTAGGCAAAACTCTGGAAGAAGTGTTTGGCAGTTGGACAAGCTGCCAAGAACCGTTGGACAATCGCTGTCGTTGGAGTTATTCAAGGCCAGACGCCCATCTACAGGAACAGTTATAGAATAATTAAATCAATCCTGTCACAGGCAGAGGGGTGGGCAAGGGGTCCTTCTGGCCTCAGTGACCAACAGTTTGTTATGGATCTACCTTTTCAGGATCCTTTCCAGTCTTATTTTGTAAACTGTTGAGTCTGCTCTGAAGGGGAGAGCAACATTTTAAAGCTGTTCTTCGTAGGGTCAAAAAACATATGAGACATAAAATTATTCCCTGATCTGTGGCCATGCATTTCTTTTTACAGTTTCTTAGAATCAGACTTCCTTTCCTCTGGGTGTCTCTGCTTTGTCCCTTTGAAAATACGAGCTCTGGGAAAATAAAGTAGAAACCAAAACCAAGTAGAATGGCTTTGGAATTATTCGTTGCTATTCACTGCTTTATGGCAGCTTTTAGAAGTTGAATTGTAAATAACCTCTGTGTTTTATTGACAATATGCTCTTCATAATCCCTACTACTTATATGGAAGAAAGTGATTATGCTTAGGGCAAGCTCTGCCTTCCTCATGTCAGCAGACCTCTTCCCACTGGCTCTTTGGTATAATCAAAGCAAACTAGGAGTAACTGAAAAAGTTACTCTGGTACACAATTCTTACCAGCAGGATTTGGCCCAAACAGCAGCCTGGACAGATTCTGTTTCTAGCTGAATGACAAACACCAAGGGATGGCTCCAACTGCTGAGCACTATGTTTACAAACAGACAAGACCATTTTTAGAGGTACGTTGGGCTGTTTTCTACACATCTGAGATTAGAATCTGGCTGCCCAATGAGACAGCTCACATGCACTCTGTGAGGCACTGCAGAGATGATAAAAAGGGCAGTGAGCTAATTTGTATTGCTAATAGTGGTCTTAAAGTGGTAATTACATATGCAATTATAAACCATGAGCCCAGCCTGTTTATTTTTCCCCTCTAGTGCTAATGAAAACCAAAGTAGTCTTGGTGTTTGTGAGATCCTGAATGTACTGGAAGCAATCATTCAGCTGACTAACTGAAGGCAGTGGCATGGCATGACTCTGCTTTGGTTAAAAATTAAATTATATAAAAATAAAATAATAAAGTAAAATAAAATTTCTACCACTTTTTTTTTTTTTTTTTTTTTTTTTTTTCTTTCATTCTTTCATTTTTTAATTATTATTTCCTTGGAATAATGGCAAAGTCAGATGAAATCCTATTTGAACTGAGCAACCCCTACTGTCTGGAATTCCCAGTCTGACCATGTTCTGTTCACTTGCATCCTGTAACATCTTGGAAATACAGGGATAGGTTTATTGCAGAGATTACTTCCCTAGAGGTTAGGTGGCAGTCTGGGGGATGCAATTGCAATGTGGTGCACAACCTATAAAACTAAATAATAGCATGAGTTATTACTGGTTTTTTTTTTTTTTTTTTTTTTTTTTTTTTTTTTAAATCTCCTTACTCCCATTTGTCACAAAACAAAAGGCACTTTGGCGCTTTGATGTGGTGGTGTGTGAGGACCCTCCTGTGTCCTGGGAGTTGTGAGAAGGCCGAGCCAGGAAAATTCACACTGAGGAACCTGCATTGGGTCTGTGTGCTGGCTAGGTACTGCCAGCCATGGAATGGAAGGGACCTATGGGCACCTGTGTTTGTCTCCATCATGGATTTTTGCAAATGGTATCCTGGGCTTTATCAGAAGAGTGGCCAGCAGGGACAGGGAGGTGATTGTCCCTCTCTACTCTTCCCTTGTGAGGCCCCATCTGGAGTACTGCCTCCAGATCTGGGGCCCCCAATACAAGAAAGACAGGGAGCTGTTGGAGAGGTTCCAGAGGAGGGCCACAAAGATGATCAGGGGGCTGGAGCACCTCCCCTGTGAAGACAGGCTGAGGGAGCTGTGCTTGTTCAGCCAGGAGAAAAGAAGGCTGCAGGGTGACCTCATTGCAGCCTTTCAGTACCTAAAGGGAGCCTACAAACAGGAGGGGAATCAACTCTTTGAAAGGGTAGATAACTGCAGGACAAGGGGAAATGGTTTTAAGTCGAGGGAGGCAAGATTTAGGTTGGATGTCAAGGGGAAGTTCTTTACAGAGAGAGCGGTGAGGTGCTGGAACAGGCTGCCCAGAGAGGTTGTGGATGCCCCGTCCATCCCTGGAGGTGTTCAAAGCAAAGTTGAATGAGGCCCTGGGCAGCCTGGTCTAGTATTAGATATGGAGATTGGTGGCCCTGCATGTGGCAGGGGGGTTGGAGATTCATGATCCTTGAGGTCCCTTCCAACCCAAGCCATTCTATGATTCTATGACTTTGTATGTCTAGGGACTCCATGAGAGCCACGGACTCCATGAAAACCACAGACATCTCATCTCCAGTCCTGGCTCTCCCTCGCTATGGGAATTTTCTGATCAACTTCTGCAAAAGGCCTTGTTTTCTGCTTTTAGGGAGTCAAAGGAGACCTTATCATGGCATTAACTCTATATTTTCTCTCTAAAAGCACATTGTACTTTTGATGAATAACTAATACTTAATGTACATTAAAAATACAAGAGCAGTGGTCTTTGAATTGAGTTATCCTAGGCAAATATTATCAATATATGTATGTCTAATAGTTCATCCATATGAGAGGGAGGGAAATGAACCTATTATTCTACAATGTCTATTAAATGTGTTTACATGCAAAACTTCATCCAATGGTTTTTAGAACTACAAATGCTTCCTTTCTTGGCTTAGTTCTTCAGCCCCTGTTAACGTATTTTCTTGATGACTTTTCAACCTGGATTAATTCACATGTGAACGGGAAGGGGAAGAATACCTTTACCACCCCTTCAGAGCTGAATCAATGCAGCCTGGAGGGTCCAGGGGCTAGGCTTTCTACCCACAAAAGTGGACAACGTATTAGCAGTGATGGTGAAGCATTCCTAGTAACACTTGTACTTAATAACTCAAAGCTGCTTGACGTAGCTGTACTTTTTCTGCTTGTGCATCCCTTTGCCTGCTAGCACCACTTTGTAACCTCACGCACCCTCGAGACCCATCCCCCTCACTTATAATTCACTGGAGAACTTGTGACATAACTGCACTGAGGCACTGCGTGCTCTGACTTTCTCTGTGATGTGTTTTAAACAAGATTCCTGCTACAAAGTTTAAAGAGTAGAGGAAGAAAACCCGACATGACTTTGGGGTAGCGCAAACGACTCATAGGAAACTCACTCTAGAGATATCTCCAGAGACTAGTCAAGACAAAAGTTACAGCACAAGCATTTGGAAGGGGGCCACTGCAAACAATTTGTCCTCATTCCAGTTGAGCAACTGTAAGCAGGGACATTTTCAACACAGGCCATTTAGGGACAGAAGGAAAGATTGGATGGCACTAAAAGAAACTACACAAATACATGGTGATAGGATGACTCGGCCACCCGCCACACATACTCTGCTGCTTCATTGTTCTTTCTCCTATCATCCCGACATCTGAAAAGGTCCCACCCCAGCACGGCGTCACAGCACAGCGTAGACCGGCATAAATTGACTCCAGGTGACAAAATCACCTTCCTTGTTTGGCCTTTGTTTAGCGGGGAGGGAGGGCAGGGGCCATGTGTGTGGCAGGAGTTGAGGACAATGATGTAAAAAAATGATTCCGCTTGTCAAAGTGAGCAATATAACAAATGGGGGAAAAGGATGTTTAGCTCTGCTGAAGCTTTTTTTTTTTTTTTTTTTTTTTCTGTGTGAGTCTTGGGTTTAAAGGGCTCCAGTCTTCTTTCTTTTTTGAGGAAATGCTTGGAAGTAGCTATTCCAATTTCTTTAATCCTTCTCTTCCCCCTAACTTACAAGCTGTTCTTGCTCTGCTGTTTTCCTCAGCATGCCAAAGGCACCATACCTTTCCATGGAAAGTTTCTGCCGCTCTCTCTGATTTTGTATTCATGCTGCATAAATAAGAACAGGACCTCCCTCCAGCACCTTGGCATGGGGTGGGGAGTTGGATAGGAGGATGGTGCATGATAGAAATATTATGTAAGTGAGGTCTGGATGCCTGCAGCCCGAGTTCTAGAAAGCCATTGTCCACAGATATTTTAAAATTGTCTTTTTTTTCCCCTTCTGAGCACCACATCACAATATGGTTTCATTCAGTGAGGACCTGGCATTTGGGGGCTGGATGGCTCAGCTGGCCCATTTGGGGATGGGGTGCCTTTCATCTGTAGGTCACTGCTTTGAATTCTGCCGACATGGTTGGCAGCCAGGAGCCATTCTCCTCTGATGGCAGTGGAGCAGCATATACAGAATTGCTAGGAAGTCTCTGATCCTAGACACCATGTCTAGATCGTAAAAGCTACCGTAACAATTGAGTCTAAATGGCACCCTTCTTGGCAGTTGAAGCAGAGGCCAAGCAATAAAAGGGCTATGGAGAATGGACTACTGTCTAGCATCTATAAGCTAATAGTGAGGAACGCGGGTGAGAGAGTGTGAGAAAGTATGCACAGCCTGTGAAGGCTCTTTTGGGTGAAGAAAGAGGATTTCAGTCTCCTAGACTGAAAGGCCAACACCTTTCAATAGCAGAAGAATCATTTACAAATCTGAGAACAAAGCCATTGTTTGTCCTCGTGCCTTTAACAATGCTGCTTCCTGTTGGCATCTTTTTCCTGCTAGTAACACAGTCCCACAATTTGTGTCTTTGCAGTGCTGCACGAGCACTAACTAATTAATCCTTTCTCACCCCTTTGAGGCAAGTAGTTTTTTGTTTCTGATGGTCTGTAGTGGTGATGTGTTCCTTCAAACTGTTGTGGATAAGTATATAAATGCTACCTAAATCTGACTATACTGCATATGCTAACCTTAGGATTTCTGCATTTGGTACAACAATTCCAGTACAGGTAGGTTACAGCAGTTAAATGTTTTGCTGAACTGAGGTCTTAATTAAAATAGGTGAGAGCTACTTCTTGAAAAAAATTCAGATCAGGGCAGGTTTTCGTTATAATGATATGAAACAAAAAGCCACTCCTTTCTGCCCCCCAAACAAATCAACTCCCTTTCACTGGAATAATCTCTGGCTGTCTGACCTTATTTATTCAGATGCTGACATGAATCATCATCTGAGCAAGCATTCCCTCCTACACCTGCAGTATTTGGGGTTATAGTTCTCCTTGGTTTTCTGCAGCAATAAGAGCTCAGTGTTACTTGGAGCTGTCTCCATCTGGCAGGCCACGAAGTCCGCAGGAGCACAGAGGTCTTTCTGTAAAAATGGAGACAGCCCAGATTGCTTTCTCTTTACACAACATCTCAAGAGGGCTCTAGACTTTTCTCTTTTGCAGCTATAGTCAAGTGTGCAGTCTCTTTCCCTCCTATCTCCTTTTTGTGTGATGACCTCTTCTTGGGGTGAAGAAGTGCGTGGGTGAGTTTGGGGGAGGGGTTGTACTTCTCAGTAAAGCCAAATTGCAGGATGCAGCACATCTTGAGCTTGGCAGCCTTTCTCACTTCCCCAAGAGGCAGCTGAAGGGCCTAAGCAGGGGTAAGACGTTATCAGCTCACTTCAAGCATGCCAGAGCATATCCTTACACACAGATAGCGACACACTGCCTGCTCCACAGCTGACCTCCGTGGACCAAAGGAGATTGTTTGCTGGTGGTAAGGGAATATCTCATGTCATCTGTACACTATTACAAGGCTGAGTACTTAACAAAGAAGTAACTCAGCAGTGTTAGCCATAAAATACGTATAAAACTGAAGGCAGAAGTTAAACTGTGTTATCTGCCAGTGGTTCATTGTTTGGAAGGAATATCCCAAGAGCACAGCTGAATGTCAGTGTCTTAAAAATCTATACATTGCTGTTGGAACTGGGTCATTTGTCACCATCTGGGATTATGCCACTAGCAGTATATGAGCATATTCACAGTACTATGCAGCTCCAGATTTCAGCCATATGGAAAAAGTGTAATATAGTGAGAAATTCAATCCTTTAATAGAATCCAGAGCACCCTCCAGAATGTTTTCCCTAGTTTTATTTCTTTGCAATGCAGTCTTAATAACCACTGATGTAGCATTTAAATTGGAAGAGATGCAATGTCTAGATATGGTGGGAGATCTACTGATATCTGTTACTCTCTGATAGGAAAATCCCTTGCTGTTTCAGTGGAAAAACCCACCGAGCTTATTAAAGCCAGAGGAAGGGCATGGCACATCTGTGGCATGCATTAACTTCCTTTGATTCTTTTCTCTCAATAGACAGCTCCCTTCTTCCAAAAGAAATATTCACAAGTAATTTTCACTGTAGAAGTTGTCTTTGCACTTACCTCTTTCATCCATGACTGTTCCAGAATGCCAAAAGCATAAAAGAATTCTGACTTGCAACAAGATGCTGATGGCACACAGGACAGAATTCCTCCATCTTCCCCTCTTTACAAACAACATTCGTGGTAGTCTAGTCATGTTGATATTACCTCACTACTTGAATGAGATTTGATTAATCTCTAAATCTATCAGCAGTGATAAAGCACTGAAATGGTAATACTGATGTGCTCAGAAGCCAAAATTACATTTATATAGTCTTGTCTGGTGGTGCCAGATCAACATGCCCAATGTTGGATACAGTATGTGAACCTAGTTGCAGTGCTATTAAGGATTTGGAGTGATGGTGAAAATGGGAGGAGATCATGTAAGAAATTAGCTTCATTGATTTAGAAGCAATGATGTCTGGAACCAGTCTCTGATGCTGGCTAAAAATTGACAGGAGTGTCTGAAAGAATTTGATACAAATCTGAGTTTGATGTCTACAGAAAAGGCTGTTCCTGAGATGTACCTGGCATGGCATTGTAGACTAATGCCAGAGAAATGCAAATATTCTCTGAAAGAAATGGTGGGGTTTTCTGAGGCCAGCAGCAAATAATGTATGTTGATGTCTGGGAAAGGTACAAATAGCTACGGCTCAGTGCAAAAAAATATATTATGGCTATATCTGGCTTAAGTGCTACATAGTTCTGTGGGCTGCTAACAGATGTTGCCAGAGGAACTTGTTATGACAAGTTGTGTTGTATTTGTGAACCTTGCGATGTTACTGGCACCATCTCCTCAGGCTCCCAGCAAATGAGAGTTAACTTTTGTTGAGGTAGGTTGGCAACCCATTCCAAATATCCATAGTTTCTCAAATATGAGAAACTAATTTGACTCCAAACTAACTTCAGTACCTGTGACAAATAGTCCTCTGACAGCCAGATCTGCCTCATCACTCTACAGATCCACAGAGCTGGTCAGGGTTTTTTGAAGAGCTCTGCTTAGAGAGCTAGGCTAGCAGAGTAGATGAGAGTGGGGAGAGATCACAGATTAGCAGAAAACGGGGAAAGAGATTTGGAGAGAGGCAGAGAAAGTGCAAAACAGCCAGCAGCTAAGATGTTCATGTGGCATCCACGTTACTATATCTGTATTCCAAACCAGACAAAGGAGAGATGTGATTGGATTTGATTGGGTAGATCCCTCTGTCTCACTTGTTGTAGAAAAGTTTAAACTCATGTCAATAAGACCCAGAAAAAAATTTGTAGAAAACTAAATTATTATTTTTTTTTTTTCCGAAAAGCAACCTGGTTGCATCTGTCAAGTGATTTTCTCAACTCATGAAAACTTAGCTGATAAACTTCATGGGAAAGCAAATAAGCAATGTGGTACTTATCTCCGTGAATCAGGCTGGTAGAGGATGAGTTTCCCACACAGTGAAATAAAGAAATCCATGGCAATGATGTAGGGCAGTAAGAAAGTTTCTGGAGAAGGGGAAAAAAACAACAGTATTTTGTAAGTCAGGTGGAAAATAAAACCTATATTGTGCTACTTGGTTATTTTTCTTTCCAACTGGACAAAAAGAGAAAACAATACCGAAGATCACCTTGGAGGAAATTTTCATTTCATTGGCCCTTCCTAGTGAGTAGCCAGAAATGAGGAAGCATGACTAAGGCTCCTTCTTAAGAACAGAATTGGTAATGGGCACAGCATAGTAGCCACCCATCTTTGTTGGTCTGTGAGTCAAAGCTTAACTGTGATGTAGCCCTTCTTCATCTCTCAATTACTTGAGAGAACAATAACACTGAAAAGATAAATGGAGTGATAAAATAAACAATTCATCTATAGTTTCTTATAATCTAGCTGACTCTTTTCTCCCAAGCACAGCCTGCCTAAGTTTGTCAAAAACAACAGTCTTCTGAGCCTGGGGAGAAAAATGCATTAAGAAAAGGGAAGAGGCATTTCAGTCACTTTGCAAAAACTGGATCCTTAGTCTCCTGGTGTATTTGATATGTTAAAAATAACTTCATGTCACTCTCCTTGATTGGGAGCCACACTGATTACACTGGTCAAAGGAATGGCTTGGGCCATTACTGCCAAGAGGGAGGGCTGATGTAGACCACAACTGGCTTATTCCAAAAAGCAAATAACCCTGAAGGTCTGATCTGCAAAAGTGGTGAAGTAAAAGGGAGTTGTGGTTGCTCAACACTTCCACGGATCAGACTTCTCTTGTCCTCATTAGCCACACTGCTGCAAACTCCTATAAATCCTGCCATTCCTTTTTGTGCATCATTGTGCGGGAGAAGCCCAACACCTGCCCTCTGCTGATATCCTGACACCTCCCAGCTGAGCTTTGGCCTTGGCCCAGAAGCTGCCCCAGCTGCTCTGAGGACAGAGCAGGGGATCATCAGGTAGCCTCTGCTCCTGAGGTGCAGCAGGAGGCTCTCCACCACCCCAAATCCTGTAGTCCTCCACTGAATGAAAGTTCCTGAAATACTTTCACATCATTGGTATTCATTTTTGGTAGCCTAACATCTGCGGATGCCTAATTTTACTAATCCTGCCTGTGACTGGCTCAGGCAGGCTGACTGAGGCATTTGCAGAAAAATGGAGATAACATATGCAAGATCAGGAAAAAAGCCAAACTCCCAAAAGACTGATGAAGTCAACTGAACAGGTTTCTGGGCTTTGGACGTGTCATGTTTGCCATCTAGTTACTAGTCAGGGCTTGTTCCAGGTAGAAAATGAAGAGTAAATAATCCAGTACCACATAAAAGGGAAACAGGCTTACGGGAACTCTTGACAAATGAGAGAAAGACTTCCAATGGTATTTTAATTGAGGTGCTTGGAAAACAATACGATAAAAATATGTGAATTCCTGAAGTTATTTTATTTGGCTGTAAAAATAATTGTATACAGGAGTACAAGTGATGAAGTGTTACTGCAACAGTGGAATTGAAAGCTCTGGGTCCCACTCTCAAATACAATGAGATTGTTAGCATGAGGTTCTCTTGGCATGAAATGTGATCTGGTAAAAGTTTGACCAGTGAAGTGAAAGCCAGGGCATCGTAAGTTCTGTGCTGTTTTGTTCTTTGATTGATTGGGAAAGGCACAGATTGGCACAAGTTACCACTTTCAGTCTCAGTTTACCCATCTGTTAGTGGAGACACATAGATTACAATGATGTTATCAGTCTTAATTATTGTAATGTATTTAAAGTTTCTCAGGTGTAAGGTATTACAGAAAAATGCAAAGTCTATTGTTCCTAATCTAAATTACTACAGAATAATTTCAATATCAGTAGTCTTGTATTTTGTCTGAAATATTAGCTGTGAATAATATTTTGCCTTTATACACAGAGACATGTTCTAACTGAAAAACAGTACTCTCTTTACTTTCTAGTAAAGATTTTTGTGTGTGGTTTGGCATTTAAAATAAGGCTGCAGCACTGTTGAGCATTGATTTAGTTTACATCCCCAATTTGGTTACTTGTTGTGAGACATGTAAGATGCTGATTTGCAGCTAAAATGCTGCTTAAAGTTGTAACACTAGTGAACAGCTTATTCACAATATGAAAAACCGCTTAGAGTTACAAACCAGAATTGTTCATTATAATAAATGCTATTTTTTGACACAGGAATGGCTCATCTTTAATTTCAGTTTTAGTATGTAAAAGAGGATGCCTGCGGCTACCATCATTTGCAATGTAGGAAATGGAGATGGAGTTATGTGTCTTCTGCTGAGCATGCAACTTGTTTTGAAATGCTTTGGCTTCTTCAACAGAACAAGATATTGGGTTCATGTAAAAAGTTAGAAATGGGCTGGGTGATTATACTTTTAATCTCTCTGAGCTCAGAAGCTAGAAGCACTTGTTGAAGAGGATGGGGTATAGCTCTGTTGGCCTCTGAGTTGCACTGTGCATCAGTTTTTGAGTCGCTGTTGAACCGAGCTCCCCTGTCCTACCAGCCAGTGCTGCCACTGGCACTGGATGCTGTTATAGGGCACTCTGCCGAGGGGGCAGGAGCTTGGCAGAGAATAGGGCAGGGCAACACATGCCCTATTCAACATACAACCACATGTTGAGTATCATAGTGAGGAATGCAGCATGCCTGGGAAGGAAGGGAGCTGGACCTGGACCAAGGAGTATGCATTTTCACCACGAATATAATACTGTACATGAGTAACCTGTGTTAATATGACGAAGAAAAACTCATCTCAGTACCGTAGACTAAATAAAGGGAATTAGGAGCCCATGTCAGAAGCAGCCAATGCCCCTTTGCTGAGGGCAGCTGTGTTTGTCAGTGAGATAAGACAAGTGTCAAAAAGAGACAATATCTCCAGGATATCCACCACAACCTGTGTGTCAGCAACCTGCTGAGGCAAACTAGCTCCAAGCAGCCATGTACCTTGGCCTGGAACTGACCAACGTGTGTTGGCACTGCAGTAACATTCAAGGATCCAGTCATTGCTGTGGCTTCCCTTGGAACTGCCCCATCTCCTCAGGGCGTTTCTGATCCCACACCGCCAGCTTTGTTCACCCTGAGCAAAGCTGCTTGTTGAACAACAGTAGGGCTGCCACAGGCTCTCAGCTGGTTGGGGCTGCCCTCCTCTTGGACAGGGCTGGCAAGAGGTGACACCTTCTTCCCTTTCACTGCCTCAGGCCTAATTCTCTCCTCGCTAATTTTAGTCTTATGTAATTCAATTACTTTGGTGAAGTTGCCTCCTGATTTATATTGGTGTGAGTGAATGGGGTAGCAGCCCTTGAGGCTTTGACTGAAGTATGATGTTACACTATTTCTGGACATCATCATGTGCTGGTTGTGCAACAGATAAGAATAATGTTTGGTAAGTCATTAGTACTTCAGTTTAATTTGTGTTAAAATCATCAGCTACATCCCATTTAGTTTCTAAAGCCTCCTCATTATTGCTGCAGACACCAGACCCATGACCTGCTTTCCACTCTGTGAGGGAAGGATAAGTGAGTTTAATGCGATCTCTGTTAAAAAAGTCTGCTGCTTCTCCCTTGAAATCAGGTGATATCTTATTATTGACTTCAGTGAAGGTAGGATCAAGTCCAAATTTCAAGCACTTAATTTTCCAGGGCAGGGTAAGCGAAGCAAGACTTAAACTGTTGCACTTCTTTGGCAAATAATGAATGGGACCTCATTATCTCTGTTAGGACGTGACTTTACAGATGATTACATGCTGAAAGTATGCCACCGATAGAATGGCTCTGACCTGAACTGTGAAACATGCTCAGAGAGTGAGAGACTTTCAAGACACTTCATTCATTCTCATATTGTGAATGATTTTGTCAATGAATGGGGCAACTGACCGTGGTGACCTGGTACCAGCATCCCCTCTAGGTACAAGCACACAGCCATACTGTCACTATTGACCATTATTCCTGCATTCTTTTCAGATGAAAAATCATCCACAGCAGCATTTAGCAGAATTTCTTCTAAGATATTATTATGTCCCTCTTAATTTACAAATAACTTATTGCCTCTTACGAAAACAGTAGATAAAGAATCAAAGAAATTGCTCCATGGGTTTTGGGCAGAAAAATTTGGAATGACATTCTGAATATATATTTGCTAAAATGCTATAATGCAAGAAACTACAAAATACATGTGATGAACCATATTGCTTATTAGAGGTAAAATACTAAAAGCACAGGAATAGAAATGGTTTGACCATGAAAGTTCATTTTATTCCAGCAAAATATTCCCATAACTCTATTTTTTAGAGGTATTATGAGCCTAAAATTAGCAATCAATGCATGCTTCTCAAGAATATCTATGACAGATATTCCATAGAAAGCTTGTTATGAGTACGTAATAAGAGACAATGATTTATGGATTTATTCTTACAAAACTCTTCTGACTCAGATAAATACTGTTATTGCTGTTCTGCAGATGGGTAAATTGAGGGACTGAAGGCTTAAGTAGCACGCATGGGATCACCCAGCAAGTCTAGAGAAAATAGACTGGAACCAGAACGTTGTATTTCTATTTTCATGTTCTGAAAGTGTTAGATCATCTCTCTCCCATGATTAGCTGCTATTCTGGCATGAACTCAGGACCATTATGATAGAGCTATTTTTCATACAATGGGATGAGACTGCCATGGCTTTAATTGCAAGCATGTGTTCACTCTTTTATGGCATTGTGATTGTTATGTAAGGTAATGTGTGAATTTAATGGATTTTAAATTATGAGTTTACATTACAACCGCTTTAGTGTAGGGAAAATTTTCTTCCTAGGTGTCCACACTGCCCTAAATAACTTGAAATCCTAATTAATGATTGGACTTTGGAATTAGTAGACCAATGCAAAACTAAAAGTAATTATCAGATTGTTTTTATTCAAAGTTGAAGTGGTTTTAAATTAAGAGGAGGAAAGTCCACCTTTAGGAATTTACAGAAAAGATCCACATGTTTAACTTCTAGGCAAACATGGTCTTCATATAATTCAGATCTGAC